AAAGAGAAAGACAAAGTGGGAGACCCCAGGACATATTCCCTGCTGCTGAGAAGATCAAACAAACCTCGGCTACTGGCAGCAACCCCGTAGGCCTTGAGGGAGGCAGAGGGATGAAAATGGTCATGGGAGTCATCCTATTGCTAATGATGATAAAAGGAAATAGTGCTGATGCTTGTTCCAAGTGTCACCAGACAATTAGGTATGGCAGACACATGGTATCCACCCTTGCCTTCCATACACATATCAATTCGGCCTGCTATAATAAATACAACTTAGAAACTTGCACTATTATGGGAAGAAGTTACTGGGTAGCCACCAATTTGGGAAAAGGAGGGTGGGCTCCATCAGCATACCAAGGTTGTCCAGTAAGAGAGACACACCTCTGCTTCACAAAAGAAAGTATGTGGGGATATTCAGATCAGGGAGGAGTGCAAGATCACTACAAGGAGGAATTAATAAAAAAATTATAACTAAAATATTCAAAGGAACAAGGACAAACCGTGGGGGAAATTTTAACTTGTATGAGAAAATAAAACAACAACTCAGCGAACGGGACTTACCCACCTTGGGAAAAAATTTATTTGTAAAATTAATAAAAGAAATTACTACTGAACTTAACTCACTGTTAGATCTGTAAAGGAATACAGATGACTGAACAATGGCCAAGGACGGGGGGGAAAGGATTAAGGCCAAAACAGTTGTTACAGTGGAATCAAACAAAAATATCGAAGGGGAATGTGTGGGAAGTTTAATAATTCTGAATGCTGCTTAGAAATTGATGATAATGGTAATTACTAAAATTGCAGAAAAAAATAAAACGAATAGCCCATGTACCTGTACAAACCTGGAACTCTATGCTTAATGATTATTACTGGAATAACCTGTTGGGGGGAGCTTAGTGGAAAAAAATTAGGGTTTATGTTAACATGTGCATTATTAAGACTACTGTTCATCCCTTGTCTTGTTCCATGCTTCATTCGACTAATCCAGTCGGTGGTTCAAGGAATACAAGTTGCTACAATACCAATAGACCCTGAGAAGGCAACAAAATTAATGGCAGTAGATGTATTAAATCTAGTACAAGAGGTACTGACAAAATTTGAAACCAGAACACGAATCAATGGGATAAAAAAAGAAAAGTGGGGAAATTGTGAAAATTGATAAAAGATTCATGTTAATCACAAAAGCATTGGGGTTTGTATAAACCAGAATACTAAGCTCTGAACTGAACCATGGACACTAGATAAAGGAAATTATATGATAAAATAATTCTGTTTAAAATCACCTTGTTATGTTATATTATGTTGTATTATGTTACATTATAATATGTTATGTTATGTTTTTCAAATAAGTTGTATCGGCTGCCAGCTTGCAAAATCGGACTTCCCAAAAAGCCCTTCCTGCCTTTGTCTAATCAATACTGCCTACCCCAAAAACCAAACTCCCAGAACTTCTCTGGTAGTTATCTACAAAGACCAGACCTCCAGAACTTCCCTGGTGGTCATCTACAAGGACTGGATGGCAATCTGTGACTGATTATCGCCCAAAGGCTCTGTGAATTTGTGAACAACGAGAACCCAAAGTATAAGAAGAGGCTGCAAACCAAGGTTGGGTGCAGCGTGGAGTGGGCGGTGACCCCTCGCGTTCCCCAGCACGTTGCTTGCTCTGTCTATATCAAATAAAACAATCTAAATTTTGCTGAATATCGAGACTTTTGTCTCTCATTTTTAACACATCGATCTTGGCTCTTGTGTTCATCAGTCAAGAAGAAAATGTGCTCTGCAGGTGGGATAACCCCTGCCTCCAGCCCTGCAGGAGGAGGAGGAGCTGCTGGAGCAATTCCATGAGGGATGAATGTGCATCAATCAGATGTGAAACTGCAGCAGAGAGGGATCCAGGAACTGACTGGGATTCCTTCTCCAGAATAAACACGGACTCGGGGTAGATTTCAGTGAATTTTGGTTTAATTTCATTATCTACTGCTGCTACATCTGTACAACATTGTACAAAATGTAATCCCAAGGAACATTCCAGCCCCACAGCCTGCTTGGCTCTGCTCTCCTGTCACTAAGCACCCTTGGTGCTCTGGCTGTGACACCCTCCCACAGCCACCAGAACATTTTGCTGTCCAGGCCAAATGATGGGAACCCCTGGCCATGGCAGGAGGTCCCTGAGGGTCCCTCCTATTTCTGGTCAGACAGGAAGGATTTTTCATCTCTTTCTGCACAAGGCAAAAGGCTCCCAGCAGTGCCATGACAAGGGGCAGTTGGGATGCACGGGTGATGCTGGAGATGGTTCAGGACTGGCACAGCCTTTGTACAGCACATGCTGTGGGTTTTGGGACTTGCTCTGCTCACACACTGCCTGTAGACTTCCAGCCCTTCCCACCAGTGCATTTGCACTGGGAGTTTCACCTGCCCCATGCCAGGCTGGTCTGAGATTTCATCTCCTGCCCAGACAAAATGAACAAGCAGCTGCTCTTTTTAACTTGGGGGTTAGGGAAGATAATCTACTTAACTGCTACTGGTAGTAGAACACATGTGGAACTGCTTCTGCCAGATTTGAGAAACCTGCAGAGAATCACATGGAATCCAAAGTGATTGTTTTGGCTTGAAAAAGCATGGTGAAAGGACCAGAGATCCATGATGTCCAGAAATGTCCTTGTTTTAGATGAGTGGTGTGGCAGGATGGTCTCTCCCAAGTGTGTTCTCCACAGAAAATTTCATTTTGGCCAGTAATTTTTCCTCTCGTCTTCTGTGTTCCTGAAGCTTCTAAGCTGTGTTTTAAAGGTCTCATGGAAAGCCTGATCATTAAAAAAAAAAATACAGTGCTTTTAAAGCTTTTCCCCCCGGTATTGATGACAATGCAGCACTATGTCCAAAGTGTAATTACTGAATCTGAAAAATAACGCCCTCAGACTGTGAAGAACATCTGACAATAATTGCACAGCCTTCATATGGATGAGTCCTCACCAAAACCTTCTCATCCTCGGAGCCATGGAGGGATGTTCTCAGCAGGGCCACGCTACAGGGAGGAGTCTGAAAGTGAGAGTAAGAGAGAAACACCTCAGGGTTGTAGTGAGGGAGATCAGAAACAGTCTGAAAGGCTTCCTGGAAGGGGGAGTTGAAATGTTACAGGGCCTAAAAGTCTGCAAGAGGGTGACAGGGGTTTAACTGACCCATTTTGCCACTCCCGTAATCCCAGCAAGGTATTTTGCATTTAAAGAAAAATATTTGACTCCAGGTAAAGATATTTCACCAGGTACAGTCGCCAACAATATTTATCCATAAGTATATCCAAGAGTCTATCCTCAGCAAATCCCACTGCCTGTCCATACACATCAGGATTACAATGCCTCTGACCATGTCCATCTCTTTCCTCTCTTTGTGTTGGCTTTGGCCAAATATCAGATGTTCTCTTAAAGCTCCCCTCATCTGGCACATTTGCCAAGGTCTTTATTCTGCAGCTCCTGCACTAGAGAGAAATCTAACCTTGATATTATCCTACCTAATGATGATGGGATTGTTCTTTCTAAAAAATTAGCTCAAGCTCAGCCAAAACCTCTGGCTCGTGTAGAAATCAAGTGGTTTTTCCCGTCTGCCTTTTTATTTCTGGTTCTGTTTGGTACCTGATCACGAGTGCCACGATCAGGAATTCAGTAAAACAGCCCAAATGTACCATTGCTTTGTCAGCAGCTGGAGCTGGCTGGGGACCATTTGTGAGGCCCTGGGCAGCAGTGGCACCCCTGGATCCACCAGGGAAACAGCAGTGCAGAGTTACCTTTGATGGCGAGGAAGGCTTTGCTGTAGGCACGACCCACTTCATTGCTGGCCTCCACCATGTACTCCCCCTCATCCTGCTTGGTGACCCCCAGCACCACTAGGGAGCACACTCCGAAGTCGTTGGTGCAGAAGTAGTTGGGATCTCTGGAGAGGTCTCTGCTGTCCTTGTACCATGTGATTTTTGGGGAGGGATGGCCTCCAACGGCGCAGCTCATGTGGCACTCACTGCCTGTCACCACCACGTGGGACCTAAGTGGCACCAGGAACCTCGGGGGCTGGTTCTGGTTAACTCCCCTGTATTTCTGTGCTTTCACTCGAAATTCAACTGTGAAAAATAAACAGCACCAAAGACACACTCACGTACTGCTCCCAACACTGCAAGGTTTGAAGGGGTTTGTTTTTGCAGTGTCTGGAATTCTGCAAAAAGAGATCCCATGCACCTATGGATTGTAACTTCTGCTGCTCCTCAGAATTACCCAATATTTAACTTTGAAGTCAGAGACTTTGGTTTCTACAATACTAAAGCCTTAGATTTTTGCTGGGAATTAATTTTTGAGACAAATTTGGGGCATGTCATAATGGCTGGGAATGAAGGGTGTGTCTGCACAATGTCCCTGAAGAAAGGACAAGCCTTCCTTGCCCAGCTGGAATTCCTCAGGACATCTCTGTCCATTCCTGTTCTGGACAACTGAATATTCCCAGGAGAGACCCATTTCAGGGTGGGGTGTTAGAAGCAATGTAAGAAACAAAACACAACACAGAGAAATATTTGAAAATGTTTTACCCTTTTTTTTCCAGATCCTCCAAGGCTGCACAGTATCTGATGGATCACTGGCTCCCAGGTCATTTTTTGCCACAACCCTGAAGTAATAATCCCTGCCTGGGAGCACCCTGGTGAAGGTGAACTTGTTGTTGTAGATCAGGTCCCCTAGCACGTGCCACAGACCCTTTGAGGATTCCCGTTTCAGGACTGTGTAGTACAGGTTCTTGTCCCACTGCTCGGATGCTGAGGGGTCCCAGGTCACTGTGACTGTGTTGGGAACATTCTCCTCTAGCCAGATGGCTCCAGGGGGCTGAGGGATATCTGCCAGAAGAGGGCACACAATGTCACAGCTGTAGGGACGTTTGCACAGAACCCTAAAACCTGAAGTCTGTTGCTTGTCTGGGGCTCAGTGACGATCCTGGTCACTGGAAGGGACAAAATTCCATTCCTTCTCAAGGCACACAAATGCATTTGCTATGAACTGAGCTGCTGCTATACAACATCTTCACTTGCTGAGCAGCGAGAGGAAGGTGGTACAGCTGAGCTGCTTCCCCTCCTGAGGTCACAGCTGGGAGAGCTGTGCTCAGTCCCACAGCTTGTGCTGACCTCTCTCATTCACTCTGGAAGGATAGTTTTAGTCAGCGTATTGCTCTGTCGTGCAGACAAGTGAAATCATAAAGTGCCCAGAAATCTCATAGAAAACTGGTACCCTGGTTCTCCCTGTGCCTGCACAGCCAAACTGCATCAGAGTTCACCCATTTTGCGGCCTTCTGCCTATTCACAGTAAATAATGGAATCCCAGACTGGTTTGGGTGGGAAGGGGTCTTAAAGCCTACTATCCAGTCCCACCTCCTGCCATGGACACCTTCCACTATCCCAGACTGCTCCAAGCCCTGTCCAACCTGGCCTTAGACACTTCCAGGGATGGGGCAGCCACAGCTTCTCTGGGCAGCCTGTGCCATCCTCACAGGGAGGAATTCCTTCCCAATATTTCATGCAACCCTGCCCTCTGGCAATGGAAAGCCATTCCCTCTTGTCCTGTCCCTCCAGGCTCTTGTCCCCAGTCCCTCTCCAGCTCCCTTGGAGCCCCTCTAGGCACTGGAAGGGGTTCTAAGATTCTCCCCAGAGCCTTCTTTTCTCCAGGTGAACATCCCCTGCTCTCCTAGCCTGGCTCCAGAGCAGAGGGGTTCCAGTCCTTGGAGCATCTCCATGGCCTCCCCTGGAATTGCTCCAGCACCTCAATATCCTTCTGCTGTCGGGGGCCCCCAAGGCTGGAGGCAGGTCTGCAGGTGGGATGTCACCTGAGGGGGCAGAGGGGCAGAATCCCTCCCTGCCTTGCTTCTCACACTGAGGGACCAGCCCAGGGCATGTCCAGCTCTCACCCACCAGCACACCCAAATCCTTCTCCCAGGGCTGCTTGCAGCCTGGATTGACTGGGAGTTGCTGGTAGATTTGTATGGATGGCAGTGTGTTACCTGCAATCTGAACCTGGAAGCTGAAGGTTTCCCTTTTCCCCAGCTCGTCCCCAAGCTGCACAGTGTAGGTGCCGCTGTCACTGAACTCGGCTGCCCTGAGCAGCAGCTGGGTGCTCCCATCCTCGGTGCTCACAACAGCCTGGCTGGGAAGGGGGAGCCCATCCTTTAACCAGGTCACCACCGGCTCAGGAGATCCCTGGAAACAACAATGAGTCACAGATACCTGTTTCACCTCCAGACTTTGTCTTATATCTTTAGTTTCATTATCTTACCCCAAATATGCACCTCCACAACACAATAATGTTAAAAATATGGATCCATGATGGATCTGAGGGCCCTAATCTGCTCTAAAGTTTCTTTACAAATTTTTTCCTTTTTGTCCTTTAAGGATGTTATGGCAGTATAAGTGTTCAGAACTGTGTCAAACAAGCTATGCCAGATCAAGGTCAGATAACGTCAGGAGTTAATAATTTATGCTTTAAAAAAAAATCTGTTGGTTTTGGAAAGAAAAAACATCCTCTAAATATTTATTTACATTGTGCCATCTTTGGTCTCTTCTCCTTGAGATCATCTACAGATCAGGAGAAAGGCCAGCAAATACACACACACCATCATTCTCCTCTGGTATCCCAGACTTCACAGGATCATGGAATCATCAAGGCTGGAAAATACCTCCAAGACTATCGAGTCCAACCCATGCCCCATCCCCACCTTAAAAGCCCTGAGTGCCACATACAGGTGTTCCTTGGACACCTTCAAGGATGGGGACTCCCAACCTCCCTGGGCAGCCCCTTCCAAAGCCTGACCACACTTTCCATGAGGAAAAGCCTGTGTTGTTCCAAGCTTACACCATAGCACTGAGGTTTCTGTCAGTGCCTGCCAAGTTGTCAAGTCACAGAGCTCAAGTGCTGCTGCCTGGTGAGACAAGCACAGTGAAGGTGTTGCTGGAAATGGTGCCCCAAGGCCTTCTAAGGGAGTCACAGGGAAATCACTGATTTGGGAGGTCTGACAGCAGTACCCGATGATGGTAACATTGATAAAGCGAGGTGGACAGCACTGAGCCTTGTTTGCAGAGGTTAAGGAATGACCACAATGTCATAAAACACCAATGCCAACACTGACAGGTCAGTTCTGGCTCATGATTTCCTCACCCTGAAAGTCAACACAGCACAGGCAGGCTAAATTATTTGCCCAGTGACTTGTAGACAAAATTCCATGATATAAAAACAGTGGCTCAGTTTTCCTGTCTGCTACTGAGTGCATCATAAAATCAGGCAGGGAATTCATCCAAAGCCCTGAATACCCACCTCAAAGGGAATCTTCACCCGGATGGGATTCCCTGCTTTTATAAGCAGGAAGCTTTTCACTGTGTCATCTATCAGTAACCTGGGAGAGACTGGAAAAGACAAAGATTACTCCCAAAAGGTGGATGTTGGTACAGTCACTGGTGACAATCATGGTGTTCCATCCTCTGGTGCCTCTCCCAGCTGGGTGAGGAATTCACAGTGGGAAAAATCTCCCTGATTCAGTCCCAGACTTTACACTTTTCAAATGTCATTACTACTATTTATGACTAAACAAGGGGAAATTATGTAAAAATACATTCACAACAATCTCTCTATTGATGTGATGTCTCAGTCACAGAGAAAGTGGCTCTTTGACACATTTTATCCCATCACAGGGATCATCTTTTGTGTTTAATGCTGACTCGAGAAAGGAAATTCCAATGGGTACTTATAAAATATACAGGCAATACAGAGCAGAGAACATCCACAGGAAAGCTGACAGTTTATCTAAATTTTTTATCATTTAAAATATTTTCTCTTTTCATCAATATACGACAGCATTTAGTATTTTTCTAAGAATACCAAATACAGTAGTGCTAAATTGTATTTAGTGTTTCCAGTATAGAACTGAACACGTGCTTTAGATGGATATTTTTTCATAATAAAGGGGGTCTCCACGCATATGCCAAAGTAGACATTTTCACTTAGGAGCCAAATTAAGGAAGATGAACCTCTCACAGAATTCTCTCTTATGTCTGTAATTCTGCATTGTTCCCAAAGAACAGGAAAAAATCAGAACTGCAGATTGTAAATAAAGATAGAAAAGTGAAAATGGTGAAAACTTTCGAGCTTAACAATTCAAAAGTAAAATAAAGTATCCAAAAACAGTATAAAAATTGTGATTTAAGAGAATGAAATAAAATTTTTCCTTTCAGAAGACTGTCTAAAAATGGAGTGAAAGCTCTATTTTTCCCTTGGAAGAGTGCAAGCAAGGGTAAGGTACATCTGGGTTCTGTCTGGTGACTGTGGTCTGTACATTTTGCACAGGGGGCAAAATGTAAGTCCAAGGAAAAAAAAGAGAGTTCTGAGAGTTGTTTTATCAAAAGGAAGCTCTAAATGAGCTGTGCACTGTGCAATGCATATCTTATATCAGTTAATATTGAGACTGTCCTGCTGTGGTGAGCAAATAACTCCGAGGTGAGGAGGAGCAGTGTGTTAGCCCTGTGTTAGCTCATCCCAGTATCCCACATTCCTGGCTCTCCTGCTCCCCGAGTGCCCATTCCCAGCACAGAGCCCCCAGCTCAGCCCTGGCTTTTCCTGCTCCCCGAGTGCCCATTCCCAGCACAGAGCCCCCAGCTCAGCCCTGGCTTTTCCTGCTCCCCGAGTGCCCATTCCCAGCACAGAGCCCCCAGCTCAGCCCTGGCTTTTCCTGCTCCCCGAGTGCCCATTCCCAGCACAGAGCCCCCCACTCACCCACAGCAGCAGCAGCTCCAGCACAAGCCTCGAGCTCTGAGGGCTCCCCGGGGCCGCTGTCGCCGAGGGCCCTGACACGCAGGAACAGCTTCTCCCTGGGCTGGAGGCCCTGGACCCTGCACGAGGTGCTCTCTGCAGGGAGGGTGAAGCACTTGGTCCAGCTCAGGCTGTTACAGGGCCTCATCTCCACCTCGTAGCCTTTCACTTCATTCCCATTTTGTACTTCAGGTTTGTTCCATGTCAAGGTGACACTGGTGCCGTCACTGGTGCTCACTTTAAGATCTTGCACTTGGCCTGGAGATTCTAGACGGAGAAATTTTATTTAAACTATTTTTGTAGGATTTCTCTTCTCTCTTTTCAGTCACTGCCTGACATTCCCCAGCATTCTTGCAGCACTCTGGATTTCCACCTTGTTGTTTTGCCTCACTTTGTCCCAGTTCTTTAGAGCTGGATCTGAGTCCTTGCTCCTACCGGCCCTGCAGTAAATCCACAACATTCCAAAACACCCTGCAGCCCATCCTGAGTGTTCCTCCACACTGCACATTACCCCATATTGGGATCTGCCAAATCTTAACTTGGACATCCTACAGGAAATCCTTCCATTCCTTCCTCCAGCTGATTCTCAGCCATGAAACATTCCCCAATTACTGATCCACACACTTTTACAGAGGATTGAAGAGCATCTCCTGTCCATGAATACCCCAAAAGCAGAGCACAGGGCAGGGCACTTACTGGTGGGGTCCCGGGCAAAGGCGGGCTCAGAGGGGTCACTGGGCTGTCCTGTACCAGCAGCATTGACAGCTGCCACACGGAACTCGTACTGCACACCCTTCTTGAGGCTGGGCACCTTCAGCTTCTTGTCTGCACAGAGGAGAGGAGAGGAGTGTGTTGCCTCAGGGGAGCTGTTCCTCATCAAGAAAGGTGACACAACAAAGTTGTGCCTTACTGCAGGCAGAATTATGGACTGAAAAATTCTCACGAGCCATAAAAACTGTCACCGATTCCCCTGCCATTCCCTAGCCAAGTGCATGTGATCTTCTGGGATGTGTTCATTGTATTCCTTTCAAAATCAAACAGCCCTTTAATCATAGAATCATTTAGTTGAAAAAGACCTCCAAGGCCACCCATCATCACCTTCATGTGAAAGGTGTAAGATCCTAAGCAGCTTCTAAACCCAGCTGACATTTTTGCCTTTTCAAATCCACCAGGCTGTTCCAGGAGTCAGAATACCCACCTTTGACAGGCACATTGGTGACTGGCAGCCAGGTCACGGTGCCCTTCTTACGTTTCTGAACAATGTATCCCAGAATTTGGGAAGCGCCGGTTTTACGGGGAGCTTTCCAGGATATGGTGATGGTGTCCCTGCTGGTACTGATGATCTCCGGAGGATCTGGGGCACCAGGGGATGCTACAAAGAGATGAGGGCTTCATTAACAGCAGATATGTTTTTATCGCAAGATAAAATGGTGTTGTGTGCAATTTCTTCTTCCAGATTCCCCCAGGCATTCCTGTGGATGTGCTTTGAAAACGTGGCTGAGATCTGAAGCATGTTCCCCACACAAACTGGATCCAGCATGGACCCTGTTCCTGAGTTTGGATTTCACAAAAGACCCTCTGTCATCAGGACTAACAATTCCTCTGCCAGTGGGGTGTGTCATTCCTACATGATATGAACAGTCAGCATCATTCTCACTTTCAACAACAGAAACTGGTAACAAAATTGATTTCTTTGCCCTCTGCTAAAGTTTTCAAGATACAGAATCATGGGAATGAGAATGGAGAAAGAAGATAATTAGAACTGAACATTGCTCTCTCTAGTGTTCATGGCAAACCTGTTCTAGTACTTAAAGTCCTTGAAGGACAAAGACAATATTCAGTTGTTTGGAGATCAGGGGAATGGAGTGGTCATGCTGAGAAGTGCTGCACATACAGAGACACTCCTTTTCCTGTGGAGTTAAGAAAAGGCCTCACGTTTCCTTTGCAGCCACACTGGGAAAAATCTCCTTTGATCTTGATGCATTTTGTATTTCCCCCATCAAACTTCCTTTCCAATACAGAATGGAGCATGACCAATGAATAATCACATCTCACTCAGCATCAGCAGAGCCTACAGCAAACTGCTGCCCTTGCTGGGCAACCTCCACAGCTTTGTGTGAAGACTGAAGTTAAGATCTGTAGCAACATCCCCAATGCAGTGACTTTCCTTAAATGTCAGCTTCAATAATGAATTTCCCAGTTTGAATTATGAATCATGAGTTCTCCTCACCTTTACTGGCAGCCTTCACTTCCTCTGACTCCAGTGCGTCGCTCACTCCCTCGGCATTCACGGCCCTCACCCTGAAGTAGTAGCTCATCTCTTCCTCCACTTTGCTTGTGGTGAAGCTGGTGCAGCTCCTGGGGGTTTCTCCCAAAGTCTCCCAGTCGTTCCTGCCCATCTGCTGCCTCTCTATAAGGTACCTTTGCACTGGTTTGCCCCCATCGTCCTTTGGGGGCTTCCACTGGATTGTGATATTGTTGGCAGACCTTTCTACAATTTTGATGGGTCCTGCTGGGGGCTGTGGCTTGTCTGGGAAGATGAACAAAGACACAGTTGGCTCCAGACCCAGACCTGCTCCTGAGTTTGGAGCAGACACTGTCCCTTGCACACCAGCTGGAAGACTGTTCCTGATGAAATGCAGGCACAGTTGTAGGATGAGGGCTGGGAATGTGAATTGCCTCTTCCAAACTTGCATTCCTCTAATTTTGATGGAGAGGATGGAAAGCCAGGCCCTTGCTCTCCCTGGGTCAACTGTTCTCCTAAGCATTGCACCAGTTCAGCTTGCTAATACAGGCAAAACAGTTTCTGGTCTCCCAAAGGAACCCAGACGTTTATGGGAGGGCTGAATTGGACCTTGATATCCTGTTTAAGATTTGCATATTATGTGCAGCCACATCTCCCACAGTATCTGAACATTCAAAACTCAGCTGCTTAGGCCATGAAAAACCAAATTAGGTTTGTGTTCCCTTGTACTAAAGGGCAAGAGGCATGTTCAGCAATCTTTCATTGCACTCTGATTTTGGGGCAATATAGAGTCTTGTTCCTCTTGAAATACCCAGTCACTGCAAATAAAGTTGTCACCAGTGCCAATGGATTCCCTGCCTAAGCTTTACAGCGAAAACCACAGTGAATGTTATGGGATCTTACCTATCACCATGAGCTTTAGGTTGATCTCCAGGACACCACTGTCGTTCTTGAGCCTGACTTTGTAATCCCCACAGTCCTTCCTGTCACAGCTGGAGATGGACAGCGTGGTGCAGGTGTCTGTCTTGTCCACACGGATCCTGGTGTCATTCCCCAGCTCCATCCCGTCCTTCAGCCATGCTGCCCTGATGGGGCCCCGGCCCTCAAACGGGATCCGCAGCTTCACACACTCCCCAGCCTTGGCTACCGTGGGGACACTGGTCAAGTTCTTGAGGAGGACTTTGTCCACCTGGGGAGGATCTAAGCAGGTGATACAAGGTCATTAAAAACCACAATTCAAGGAGGATAATGCTCACCTTGGAGGGAAGGGATGCCCTCATGGTGCTGCCAGCAATGCTTAGAAGCTCACAACACGTGGATCTGAACCTTTAGTTGTACTTTGCTACAGCATAATTATCACAAAATGTTGTGGTATCACACTGTCCTTTCACTAGAGAAAATTTCTCCTAGGCAACACACTAAACACAAGAATGAAGGATCTGCCCTGATAAAGTGTTTTGTGCACCCCAAAATCTTTGAGTTGTTGGCAGAAGAGTCCCTAGTTAAATTTGCAAATGCAAAATGAACCAACCTGTACAAAAAACATTTCCCATTTATCTTGTAACTCTTTATAATAAAGTTATCTCAAAAACCAATTACATGTCTCTGAGTAAATGTATTACATTTAAAGCCCATCTCATGATGCTTTGGTGGTTTGACTAGACTCACCTTCAACAAAAATTGAAGCTTCAGTTTTTACATCTCCACCTTCAAACCTGTATTTCCCAGCATGAATATCTTCTGCTTTGTTAATTATCAGTTTGTGGACAAGACCTTTCTTTTCAAAGACAACTCCATCCATGCTTGTTAACTACAAAGTAAAGGACAGAGACTTATCCTTTTTGAAAAAAGGAAAAACTGCAATCCAAACTAAAACTGGACAGACTACAATTGGAAATGCAGTTGAAAAGACTTATGAACGTCATGCACGTCTAATGACAATATTGTGGCATTCTGTTGCCCAGAGCAGCTGTGGCTGCCCTATCCCTGGAAGTGTCCAAGGCCAGGTTGGACAGGTCTAGTGGAAGGTGTCTCTGCCCAGGGACTGGATGATCCTTCAGGTCCCTTCCAACCCAAACCACTCTGGGATTCTGGGATTCTGTGAAGCTTTCCAGGGCCCCACTCAGGCTGCAGGTGACTGTTGGGGGAAGGACACCTTGACACCACTCTGAGGAAGTAGAGCCAGAGAGCAGAGAGCATTGCTACCAAAAGGCAACAGGAAGCTCAAGGAACCCACCTTTAGGCCATCCTTAAACCAGGTTCCTGTCACGTTGTCCTTGCTGACAGTGCAGGACAGCTCAGCTGGGTCTCCCTTCAGCACTCGCACAGTTGCCAGCTGCTTGTTGAGGTAACAGCGTGGGACTGAACAGGCACAAAGGAAGGGACAGAAGCTAAGTCTGTGTTACAGAGAGACACCTAGAGCTGAAAAGTCACGTGCATGTGAGGGGAAAGGAGCTTAAAAAAAAAATAGTCCTCTGGTTAGGGGAGGCTTTTGTGGCACCTCACTGTGGGCTAGCTGGGTACACTCAATGCCCTGAGGGATGCACAGCCATCCCAACATCCACTGCATGCCAACATCCACCTCATGGGCAATGGATTCATCACAAATCACATTATCCAGCTGTGGATTTGCTAGTTTATGTCTATGCTAATTGTCTTGAGGAAAATTGCCAGTGGAAAAAAACAGGTTGCTCCAAGGTGTGGATAAACCGCTTCATCCTCCTCTTCCTCTGCACTGACCACACATGGGGCTGCCCAACACATCCCCCTAAACAGCCCCAGGCACACTGTTCTCCACCCCTGTATTCCTCTTTCCCTTCCCAAGTTCTTCTCCATTACCATCATCATCTCCTCTCTAATATATACCCCACCTCTTTCCCCTGAACCCCAGTTTTGATGATTTTACTTCTTTATTTATATTTATGGTTTAGCAATGACAATTCCTAACTTGTGAACAATCCCAATAGGTGAATATTCCCCTCTGATTATACACCTGAAATTTCTCATTCCTACAATTTTCACATCATCAGCTTACTGGTAGAGCCACAGGTCTTACTCAAATGGCTGCAAACACATTACTTCCCTCTTACTCTGTGCAATACCTTATTATTCCTGATGTTACAAGAGAAAAGAGCTCTTTACATTATATAATCCCATATAAGCAGACACAGAATTGTTCCCAGAACTTGGAAATCACAGTTTCCTGCAGTAGGTGTTTGAAAAATAAAGTGAAACCTTCAGTTTTGAATTGGAACAGTATCAAAGAAACATGATTATATTCTTTGAAACTTTATGGGAACTGATATGTTTGTGAACTGGTCTGTTCCATGATATGTGAAACACAAATGAAGAGGTGAGACCTGGCTTAGATCATTTAGACAAAGAAAATAATTTAGACCTTTAAGGCAGTTTGATCAGAGCAAACTGTATAAGATCAAACTGCCAATCAGTGGGAGGATTAGGAACAGATCATGGGACAAGCAAATTTCTGCACAGAGTTCTGTTTATCTAAATCACAACATCCCATTTCTTTGCAGGATTAGGAATGTAAGTATCCAAATGCAAAGACCAGGAGTCATCAGTTAACCACGTACCTTTGAGATCATCCAGGACACTCCGTCTCTTTTGTCCTGTGCTTTCTGTGTTCTTCAGGGAATCATTTGCTTTAAGATCCAGGTCAGGTTCCTGGTTTTTCTGGTTTTCTGATGGAGGTCCACCACAAGGACCTGACATCTGGCCATAACTTAGTGGACCTTGGCCAAACCCACTTGAACTACTCCCATCAACAGATCTGTCATGGGATTTAATCCCTGCCTCTCCAAAGGCAGAATTTGTGCCATAAATGGAGCCCAACTGTCTGAAATCTCTGCCCTCTCCCCTGGCTCCTCCTGGACCTGACAGAGACCCTGCGTCACCAGCTGAACCTCTGACATCACCGGCAGTGCCCTTTCCAGTTTCACCTCTCAAAGATCTGCCAAGATGTGCATCCAGCCCATATTCACCATGTAGTCCACCAGCACCTCCCACACCTCCTTTACCACTGACTGAGCCCCATTCATCCCCTCCCAACCTCCCAACCCCACCTGTACCAGCCATGGCTACAGCTGACCCTCTGTCCTTGCCATAGGGAGACCCTGCACTCCACAGTGCAGGGCCTTCCCCAGAAAAGCCCTCTCCTCCTGTATATCCTGGAGCTCTGCTCAGCATGGCATCCATGCCATGGCCAGATCCCATCACTTCCTCAGCTCCAAGAGGAAAATGAGCAGCTCCTGCCACAGCCCCAACTGGGAGACCATCCTTTCCATAGGGACCCCCAACTCCTCCTACACCTGCTCCAACTGGGAGACCATCCTTTCCATAGGGACCTCCAATTCCCCCAGCACTTGCAGAACCAGCCCCATCAACACCTGCTCCAAGTGGACGACCATCTGGACCATACAAAGCCTCTCCAAGTCCTCCTGCACCAGCACCACCAGCCCCAGCTGGGAGACCATCCTCTCCATAGGGAGATGCAAGTCCCCCTGTACCACTAACACCAGCTCCAACTGGGAGGCCATCTCTTCTGTAGGGTCCCCCAACTTCCGCTGCCCCACCACCATCAGTCCCTGTTGACAGACCATCCTTTCCAAAGGGAGCTCCAACTTTCCCTTCACCACCAGC